GGCCCTGCCGTAGCTACGCACCTGGTTCACCTGAGTCCCCCCTCCCCAGCTCCACTTTGAGGTCCTCTCCTGCTGTCTCCCCTGGGTCACTAACCATTCACATGGGTCTCCTTGATGCTCCAGCCTCCGGGCCTTTGAACTCACTGGTGGATCAGCCCAGAATGTCCCTTCCCCCAATGATCCGCCCCCCAGTCCCTCACCTCCTTCATATCTCTGCTCAAATGTCACCTTCTCAGAAAGACAATCCGTTGAGCCTTTTTAAAATAAAACTATCCAACCCACACACCCCATTCCCCTCCTTGATTTATTCTTCTTCACAGCACTTATCACCATCTGACAAACTATATATTCCACTTGTTTACTTATTTATCATCTGTCTCTTCCTGCCTGAAATGTAAGATCCTAGCAGTTTCATGAAGAACTCATATGCTGGTGGTCTTTGTCTGTCTCACAGTCAAATATTCCTAGCAACTACAATAGTACCTGGTGCATAATAGGTGCTCAATCAACATGTGTTAATGAATCTTTAACCCTGTAATGTAAAGATTATTGTTTCTGTTCTCAGAACATCAGTGCCATTGTTTCTGATCCTCTGAGAGGTTTAAATAACCTGGACTAGCCCCTCAGCTGCAAGGCAGTTCCCCTTGGACATTGATCCGCCACCACCCTAGGGCCTCCCTAAGCCTAGCACTAAACTGGACTTCAAATGATTCACAGTCTGTCTTTTTAAAAACACTTAAAACATCAATTGAAAAAAGTAAATAAGCCTTGACCTTAACCTCACACTTTATTCAAAACAGATCATGGATTTAGATGTAAACCATAACTTTGAGGAGGGAAAAAAAAAAAACAAGAGACAATCTTTGTGAATTAGGGCTAGGCAAGACATTCTTAGACTTGATACGAAAAGCACAATTTAAACAAGGGAAATTTGATTTAAAAAAGCGGGGGGGGGGGGCCTCAGTTAGGCACAACGACATATACCTGTAATCCTAGCAACTCAGAGGCGGAGGCAGGAGGATCACAAGTTCAAGGCCAGCCTCAGCAACTTAGCAAGACCCTAAGCAACTGAGTGAGACCCTGTTTCAAAATAAAAAATAAAAAGAGCTGGAGATATAGTTCCCTGGTTAAGCGTCCCTGGGTTCAATCCCTGGTAATGGAGGAAAAAAAAATGGTGGGAGGCCTCAAAATTAAAAATGGCCTCTCTATGAAAGACCATACAGAAAAGATGAAAAGACTAAGATACACACTGAGAAAATATATGCAAGCCATACATCTATTAAAGGACTGGTATCTAGAATGCATAAGAACTCTCAAGGCTCAACAGGAAGAAGAGGAGGAGGAGGAGGAGCAGAAGGGGGAAGAAGAAGACAAGAAGGAGAAGGCGAACCCCATTAGAAAATGGGCAAAGACTTAAACTGACAATTCACTAAAAAGGACACACAGATGGCAAACAGCATGTGAATAGATAGATGTTCAGCATCACTAGGAATTAAAGAAATAGAAATGAAGACCACAATGGAAAAATCACCTACACACCTCTCAGAATATCTAAAATAAAAAATAGTGACAACACCAAATCCTGTCAAGGATGCAGAAAACTAGATCACTGTATGGTGAGACTGTAATACAATACGGCCACTCTGGTGGTGTCTGATAAAACTAAACATGCAATAACCAAATGACTCATCGATGGTACTCCTGGTCATTTATCCCAGAAAAATGAAAACTTCTGTTCATGAGAAAACCTGTACATGAATATTCATGGCTTTTATTTGCAAACAGCCCAAAACAGACCCTATCCAGATGTCCTTCAACAGGTGAATGGTAAACAAACAGGCATAACCAAACCACGTAACACTACTCAGCAATAAAAAGGAATGAAATATTGATTTGCACAAATTGGATGAATCTCCAGGGAATTATTCTGAGTTTAAAAAAAAAAAGCCAGTTACAATGCCAAGATAATTCAATAGAGAAAGAACAGTCTTCTCAATAAACAGTGATGGGATAACTGGATATCCATACACCAAAAAAGGAAGGTGGATCCTACCTCACACCATTTATAAAAGTTAACTCAAAATGGATCAAGAACCTAAATGTAAAGAGTTAAAACTATAAAATTCTTGAGCAAAAAAATGTAGAAGTGAACCCTTATGATTTCAATTAGACAATGATTTCTTTGATATAATATCAAAAGCACAAACAACAAAGAAAAATTAGTTAAGTTGGGCTTTGTCAAAATGAAAACCCTCTGTGATTCAAAGGACACTATCAAGAAAGGGAAAAGACAGCTGGGCAAGGTGACGCACACCTGTACTCCCAGCTGCTCAGGAGGCTGAGGCAGGAGGATTGCAAGTTCAAAGCCAGCCTCAGCAAAAGTGAGGTGCTAAACAACTCAGTGAGACCCTGTCTCTAAATAAAATAAAAAATAGGGCTAGGGATGTGGCTCAGTGGTTGAGTACCCCCGAGTTCAATCCCTGGTACCAAAAAAGAAAGAAAGGGAAAAGACAATCCACATATGGGAGAAAACATGTGAAAATATATCCAATGAGAATCTAGTATCCAGAATAAAAAACTCTTAAAAAACAATAATAAGGGGCTGGGGATGTGGCTCAAGCGGTAGCGCGCTCGCCTGGCAGGCGTGCGGCCCGGGTTCGATCCTCAGCACCACATACAAAGATGTTGTGTCCGCCAAATACTAAAAAATAAATATTAAAAAAAAAATTCTCTCTCTCTCTCTCTCCCCCTCTCCTCTTTCTTTAAAAAAAAAAAATAATAATAATAAAAAGACAACCCACCTTAAAACGGGTAAAAAAAATCTGAATAGCTATTTCTACAAAGAAGAAATACACAGGCTGGGGATGTGGCTCAAGAGGTAGCGCACTCGCCTGGCATGTGTGCGGCCCGGGTTCGATCCTCAACACCACATACAAAGATGTTGTGTCTGCCGAGAACTAAAAAATAAATATTAAAAAATTCTCTCTCTCTCTCTCTCTCTCTCTCTCTCTCTCTCTCTCTCTCTCTCCTCTCTCACTCTCTCTTTAAAAAAAAAAGAAGAAATACAAATCATCATCAATAAACACATGAAAAAAATGATCTGTATCATTTGTCATCAGGGAAATACAAATCAAAACTACAATAAGATACCATTTTATACCCACTAGGATGTAATCCACAGACAGAATAAGTTTTGGCAAGGATGTAGAGAAGCTGAACCCCATCCACTGTGGGGGATGGGGGGTGTAAAACGGTACCGCTGCTTTGAAAAGCAGTCCAGTAGCTCCTCACAAGTTACATGTATGTAGAGTGACCACACGACATATATGATAAATACCCAAAATAAATAAAAATATGTCTACCTAAAAACTTGTACATGAATCTTCATAGAAATAAGGTTCATAATAACCAAAAAAGTGTAAACAATCCAAATGTCCATCAACTGATGAATGGACAAATAAAATGTGATGCATTTATACAATGGAAAATTATTTGGCAATAAAAAGGAACGGGAGAACTGATCTATGCTACAACATTAGATAAACCTTGAAAACGTCATGTTAAATGATGAAGTCAGTATATTTTGTGTGATTCTATCTATGAAATGTCTACAAAGAGGCAAATCAATAGAAAGATAAAGTAGATTAGTGCTTACTAGGATTCAAGGAACTAGGGTGAAATGGGGAGATGGTTAAAGAATACAAGGTATCCTCTTGGGTTGACAAAATGTTCCAAAATCAATTGTGCTGATGGTTGCATAACTCAGAATGTTTAGAAACACCGAGATGTACAATTAAATGAGAGAATTTTATGAGATATTAATTATATTACAATAAATACTTACTAAAAATACCCAACAATTCCAAAAGATTATATGCCACATGATTTCATTTACATAACATTTTTGAAATGACAAAATTCTAGAAATGAAGTACAGATCAGTTATTATCAAGGGTTGGAGGGTTTAGGGAAAGAGGGGAATATAGTTATAAAAGATCAACACACGGGGCTGGGGATATAGCTCAGTTGGCAGAGTGCTTGCCTCGAATGCACAAGGCTGTGGGTTCAATCCCCAGCACTACCACAAAAAAAAAAAAAAAAAAGAGATCAACACAAAAGGTCCTTCAGGTGACTGAACTGTTCAGTATTTGACTTCCGTGATGAAGACATCCAGTGACAAACTGCAAACTGTATAGAACTAAATACACACACATTTATACAAATAAAGTGTAACTGGGCAAGTCTGAATAAGATCTGTACATTGTACCAATGTCAATATCTTGGTTGTAATATACCATAGTTTTGCAAAATGTTATTATTGCAGAAAACAAGGTAAAGTGTACAGGGAATTGCCCTGTGTTTTTCTTACAATCTCATGTGACTCTATACATATCTCAATGAAATTCCAATAAATACAACATACTGAAATCACAGAACACTGCTCTCAATTTCTTTTCTGGTTAAACAGTTTCCTCTGGCCCAGGCATACCATGGATCTTAACAACTACTATTTCATGGTTTTTAACAAGGAGGAGACTTCAGGCTCAATGCCCAGTCAAGAGAATCCAGCTAGAATTTATCACACACTTCTATTAGTTATTCTTCTATCTAGATGATATAAAGTAGAACAAAGACTGTGGATTTGGAAGCCAGCCAGTCAAGAGTTCCAGTCCCATCTCTGCCTCTCACTAGGTGTGCTCTTTAACTAGTCACTTCACATCTCTGTCCTTCAGTCACCTCATCTGTAAAATGGGTATGGTGTTGTGGTAAGTTTTAAATCGGGCATGTGTGTGTATACACATATGCTTAAAAGGCTGAAACCGAGTAAAGTAATATCATCTTAACCAAAATAAGAGTTAAGGAAAAGTCATGACGTCTTACTAAGTTTTAGAACACAGATCCAGGTCATACTACCTCTGGGAATGTGCCCTTCTGCCCCCACACTGCCCTGCCCCGTGTCCAGAAGAGGGACCGGAGCAGGAGGTGGCAGCTGTACCTACCTGCACACTTGGTCCGGCTGAGGAGTGGAGGACCTGGGCGGCCAGTGCCGCCATCTCCGGGACGCGTGAGCAGCACACTGATCTCATACTCGGTGTCAGGGTCAAGGTGCCACAGCTTGTAGGTCTGCAGGCTGACTGCATGCACCTCGGCCCATGGGCCACGCGCCATGCGGTACTCGATCTCCTTGCGCACAATCGGCCCATCGCCGATGATGGAGTTGGTGTTGAGCTGGATGATAAGATAGGTGGGGCCCGCACGCAGCAGCTGCGGGGGTGCGATGGGAGTGGGGGGCTCTGGAAAAGGGTGGGGAGCCGGTCAATGGTGCTGTGAGACCCATGCTCCCAACTTTGCATTCCACCACACCCATATCCCCAAGATGCCAGCCTGCCCTCCCAGACCCCTCATGCCTTGGTCCAGGCCAGTTCTCTGACCCCTTCTAAATCCCCAAGCCTTAAGGGGCCACGCTCCAAAGGCTGACCCTGTCCTCACCCTCCAACCCATATGCACCCCCTCACTCCCCTCTGAACCCCCAAGCCTTGCTCCTATGGCTGATGACACTCAAGCGCTGGTCAACACTTAGAAGACACTGTCACACACCTCCTCACCAGCTCTCACCTGGACCCGGACCCTGTCTGCCCCACCCTCAGACCCACCTCTGGACCAGGCCATGCCTCAGGGCCGACCCTGCTGCCTTGATTGGACCTCGGCCACCCAGACCCTACCGGCTCTGTCCCATCAGCAGGCCCAGGGGTTCAGCTCACACCCCGCCCAGGCGCTGGCCCTACCCTTCCCAACTCCGTCCACCAGGGCCCCACCCCCCCCTCCAGCGCCCCTGGGGTCCTCCTGGTAACCCTCGCTGACCCTTGACGATAAGCTCCGCGAAGTTAGAGACACCCGCGCCGCGCGGGGCCTGGGACACGCAGCGGTACAGGTCCTGCTCTGCGCGGCTGACGGCGGCCAGCGGGAAGGTGGCCAGAAAGCGCCGGTGGCTGATGTGCCGCACACCGGCCGCGGGCACCAGCGCCCCACTCTGCCGCTGCAGGGGAACAGGAGTGGCAGGGTCAAGGGAGCCGAGGAGAGGGGGATCTGGACCTCGCTCAGACCTCGGTGAGGGTAGGGGTCATTCACCCACCCCTCCTACACAGTAGTCTCACTGTGTGTGCCCCAGAGTGAGGGGCACCCAAGAGGGCAAAGGGAACCCTGTTGTGGGAGACACCTGGGTATGGGTGCTTAAGTGTGAAGTACTCGGCCCCCCAGGACTAGAATAAGCTATTCGCACCCCACCGTACCCCTGGCCAAGGTCTGAGACCTCCCTCACCTGGAGAAGGAAGCGCTCGGCCTCGGCAGCCCGTCCTGCCGCCATACACTGGAAAGACGCGTTCTGGCCGGCATTGACCTCCACATCGCCCAGGCGAGAGAAGTGCGGGGCTTTTGCTGTGGGAACAGAGCCAAGGCATGAGCTAGGCCTGCACCCCACACAGACCAGATCCACAACCATCGCACCCCTCATCCCTGCACCCCCCGTGGCTAGGACTCACCGCAGGGGTAGCTGAGAAGCAGGATGTCATCTAGGCCCATGTAGCCCCTGCGGTCTGGGGAGATGAGGGCCTCAAACAGCACCTGGGGGAGCGGAAGAGCCCTTGTCATATTGACATCCCTCCATCCCTGTCTAAGGAGGTGTCCACAAGAGCCCCCTACCGCTGGGCCCCAGCCCCACCCTCCTCAATCAGCAGAGGTTAGCCCAGCTCACTCTGACCCTCCCCACCATGCCAGCTGGTTCAGGAATGTGGTGCCACCACAGAGAGAACAAGGTCAAGGCCAGAGGTTCTCTCCCAATTCTGGACAATTACCTGAAAGCAGCAAAATTCTCCCCAGCCAAACAGGGTGTCCAGGCTGGCACTGTTCCAAGTCACCTCTGGCCCCTGCCATAGGCTACTCCTAGTAACAATGACCTCTGATGCTGAACCTAGATTCACCCCAGATCAACTCTACCCTTGACCTCAGACTGACCCCTGATGTTGAACAGACTAATCCCATCCTATTCCAATACAAAGTGGCATCCCTCTGCCCTCAGCCCCAGGCTGACCACAGTCTGACCCCAGCCCACCTGATATTCATTGGGCCAGAAGGTGCTGACAGCCAGCTCAGCCTGGTGCCACTGACGGCCATGGGATCCAGTCATATTCCAGACAGCGCTGCCCAGGGGGCCCCCGTTAACACGCACATAGACGCCCAGGGTACCAGGGCTGTGGCCATCTCGGCTGTACAGGAAGTAGCTGAACTGCACACAGTGGGTGTCGTTCTCGCTTAAACTCTGGAAGATGACATGGGCCCGCTGGCCTGGGGCGTGCTGGGAAGCATTGACCATCAAGTAGGCGCCTGGAGGGAGAGAAGGAAGAGGTAGGAACTGAGGAGCCCTTAGGGGAGGGCCAGGATTGGGTGGGCACTGAGAAGGGGCAGAAACCAAGGACTCCAGGCTTTTGAACCCACTGGGAGTCCAGATGCCGAGTTCTGGGCCCAGCTCTGATTCACGGGGTAGGTCTCTTCTGTTCATAGCATCTGCTTCCCAAAGGAGACATTGAAGCAGCAGAAAGCACACAGATCTGGCCTTGTCACAACCTATTACAGCTCCTCACCATCTGCAGGTCACAGTCCCAACCCATGCCCTGCCTGAGACACAGCTTGCCCGTGTTCCATGCCATCCTTGGAAGCAGGGACTGGGTCATCCATCCCGCAAGTCAAGAGCCCAGCACATGGCAGATCTTCTGAGGCCACAGCTTGCAAAGCCCTGCCTCCACATTTCCCTCCTGGCCCTGGATCATTCATAAAGTGTGTCTCTCTCCCTGCCAGCCTGTGAGCTCTGCTATGTCCCTGCACAGGCTCTGAACCCAAGCTGAATGAATATGTGGGACAGAGACTGAATGAAAGGATTAACTTCGCTTCCAACCCCCACCTGAATCTAGATTCCTGGGACATATACTCTCTTGATTTCTAACCGGGGGGGGGGAAAAGGTAGCCCTGACCCTTCCCTGAAGATCAAGATTGTGTGCTACAGGGACACTCCCAGGGACGTGGCTTTCCTTCTGAGGGGAGAGGCCCCAGCAGATGCCAAGGGGAGGCGGACAGCAACCCAGAGCCGCCTCCTCCCAGGCTTGGCTGCAGGCCAACACAAGCACATTCAGATTCCCGCTCCAGGAGGTTCCCCAGGGACTCTGCTGGAGGAGATCTCATTCATCTCTGTGAGCCAGGAGCCCTGTGGAGGCAGCTCCCAGATCAGTCCTGGCAGGATATTAAACAAAACTCCGGTCCCTGTCCCCGCCTGGGAACAGGTACATCCTGGCCCTGTGAGCAGCCGTGCCTCCTAGTCTGACACTGCTCTTGCCTCTGCTCCTGCTTCCTCTGCATCCCTCCCCTGCTCTTTCATTTATTCCCTTTGTTCCTGTCACTCTTCCTTCTCCTGCTGTCTCCTGGGGGTATGGGTCTCCTTCCTTCCTTCTCCCTCGGCCCCAACCTTCCCTGCACTGTGAGACCAGGAGGGTGGAGGCTGTCCGCCTCCCCTTGATCATCACCACCTCCAGAGCTAGCAAAAGGCCATGCCAAATACTAAGCCTGTGTCTCCCCTTTCTCAGAGTGCGTCTCTGCTTCAGTGAGAGAGAGAGAGGCAGAGGCCACAAGACTGCAAGAGCCGAATTCAAATCAGCTGTTCCTGATCACCAACCATGTGTCAGGCTGAGGCTGGGCCCTGGGGATCTGGAGAGGCCCACACAGGGACCTTCCATGGCAGGTACCTTCACAGATGATTCTCGGACAAATGAGACTGTGAGACCCACGAGCTCAGAGGTCTGAGAGGGAGCTGAGAGCCCTGCAGAGGCAGATGAATGCCCCAACATGGGGACAGCTGAGCAAATGCACAGAAGTGGGAGGCAGGGTGAGCAGCGGGGGACAAGTGTGTGGCTGCCAGGCCATGAGGGGCCTGCCTCTGCTTGGCTTCAAATCCTGGTCCCACAATGAGAAAGAAGGTCTGCTGCCCTCCCCCCAACCCTGGACAGCAGATGCCATCCCAGCCCTGCCATGAACTAAGCAGGAAAGACCCCAGGCCACTACTGTGATAGGGCAAAGGGAAGGGGTCTTTTGGCAGTCCAATCCTGGGGGTCTACTCACATTATACGTGTCCCGTGACCCAGGCCTTATCAGTAATAAATAAAGTCAATTAATTAACCTCCATCTGCCTTATATTTCTCTTACTTCCCAGTTGATTCTGTGCCCAGTGAAAACAACTACAGTGATTGGGCCCCCCAAATACCCTAAAAAATAATAACTAAACAACTAAGCTCTCCCATGTCACCTCTGTGCTCTGCACTTTGTAGGCATTACCTAATGGCCCTTGAAATGAGTTACTGCTCTCCCCCACTTTACAGTTAGGAGAACAGGGGCTCAGAGAAGTTAAGTGACTTGCCCACGGTCTCAGAGCTAGTCAAATGATGGAGCTAGGATTTGACCCCTACCTTCATGACTCTGGAATGAGTGCTGCGGGCCCACCATCTGAGTGGAAGGAAGGCCAGCATCAGAATCCATGTAATTAGTCTCTGACTCCCTGTCCAGTGCTCAGGAGACCCAGAGTGCCCCATCCTGAAGCAGCCAGGGCAAAGCGGAAGTTGGGTTGGTGGATATTCCTGTGACTTCCAGGAAGAGGAGGGCACAGGAATACCCACCAACGTCACTGCTCCAGCAGCATCTGAGACCTCAGGAGACCAGGACCCAGAGGCTCTCAGGGAAAAGTGACAAAGACACGGTGGGAGTGGGGTGGACCCTGAACTAACCTACAAGGGGAGTGACAGGAAGTGGGTTTTAACTTGCAGCAATAAGGGCCTTTGATCACTTAAACCTGCACCCACCCATTCTACCAATGAAACGACCGGAGGTGCACAGGTGGACGGTGTCCAGAGGGCGCCACACTCAGCATCACATATGTCATTACAGATGCTGAAGCCCGCGAGGCCAGAGAGGTTAGGAGCATGCCCCAGGTCCCACAGCAGGCGGGCGGAACTGCCCCTGGAAGAAGACCAAAGGGGAATGGAGAGGAGGGAAGGCTCACCGTGGGGCAAGTCTGCAGGGGCCCGCGTGCCCGGGTGGATCCTCACTTGCTCCCACTGGAAGTCGTCGTACTGGGCCTGGCTGTACTCACAGGGCACTGCTGGGTCACTCGCCTCCTCGAAGGTGCAGCCAGCTGTGAGGACAGAGCCCATCAGCCCAGGCTAAGGCAGGGCTGCTGGCCAGGAGGGCTCCTGGGCCACTTGCCACGTTCCCCCACGTTCCCCTCCCTCTTCTGTGCTCCTTCCCGCACCCCCTCCCTTTCACCAGGCCCTCCCCTCATGCTCCCTTCCAATAGCAAGTCCTCGCCCACTGACCTTCCCTCAGGACCTCCCAGGACCTCCCCACTGTTCAAACACCCACCAAAGACCCTCCTTAACAAGGACCAGCGGTCATGGTTGTTATGTCATTGGAACCTCACCACAGCCCATCTGATCAGATCAGGATGAGAAGTATCCCCATTTTATTGATGAGGAAACTGAGCCCAAAAAACCTAAGGGACTTTCTCAGGGTCACACAACTAGCTAGTGACAGAGATGGGGTTTGAACCAAGATCCCCTGACTACTCCTCAGCACCCCTCCATCTTCACTGTGCCAGGCACAGGGGGGGCCAGGCCGGGGAGGACCAAGGAACCCTAAGCAGCCCGACAGTGTCTCCTTAACACTCGACCATCACCACCAATCATTTCACGCTTTCAACAAGCACCGTGTGACGCCAAGCACCAAGCAGAGTGTCCCTCAGGCCTCACCTTAGTCAGGACCATGAACATTCCTACTAACGGAGCTCCAGGGGATCTAGTCCTCATCCAAGGTCACTAGACTTAGGCCTCCACTTGCTGGGCTCCTGGATGCCTGGCAGACACTGGGATTTCCCCCATCTGACAGATGAGCAGACTGAGGCCCCCGAGGGTGAAACCATCTGTCCACAGTACAATAGGGCAGGTCAGGAATGGGTGTGGCATCAGACATAATTGGGATTGAATCTTGACTCTGCCACCTGCCAACCCTGGTGACCCTGGGCAAGCTGTTCTCTTTCTGAGCCTCAGTTTCCCCATCCACACATGGGGTGGCTGAGAATTCATCACGGGGATGCACTTAGCACATGTAAGCACTCAGGGAACAGCAGCTCTGACTATGTGGCACTTGTACCCACACAAGGAACAGAGGCAGGATTTGAATGCATGTCAGTCAGGGGCCCAGAATGACACTTCCCACCAGAAATATGAGCCGAGGCAAACCTGAGCTACTTCCCAGCTCAATAAGATGGGATGGTGGGGGGTGGCAGGCAGTCACTGGGGCGTGAGTGGCACGTGCCCAGCAGGCAGCAAGTGACTTCACTTTGGGCTGCTCCATGTGGCTATGCAGGTCATGTGAAGTGACACGTGGAACACACCAGTAGAGCCAGGAACAAAGGGGCTCGCCACTTGCTGGCCTCATTTCCTACTGTACCTCATCTGAGTGTGAAAGGACGAGATGTGGGCGTGAGGCTGGCACCAAGCAGACGGGATGGAGTAACAGTGACGGGGCTGGACCCTGGTTGGGCTCTTTGCCCCTTTGTTAGAAAAGCCCAGGTCAGCAGACCCGGGGTCTACGGGAAGCTTTAACCCATCCCCACTGGGAGGGCCTCAGCTCTCCCTCTAAAAAGGCCCATGGTGCAGCCCAGCAAGAGGGACTGCTTCCTGTATGAGGGGCACAGCTGGCTTCCGCCTGACCTGGGCCTACCCAGGGGGGTCCCAGTCAATCGCTGAGGCAGAAGGATTGCCAGGAAGCAAAGCCAGGATGGGGAGCCCTGACTGAGGCCCAGGCCCTTCCTGTTCCCTCAGGAGTGACCAGGCGGCTTCTCCAGGACATTTCACCAGGACCCTGGAGGCAGGCCTGGGAAAACCAGTTCCTTGGCTTCCTCTTGTCCATTCTGAGTCAGGTGACATGGCCTGCCAGGACTCCCAGGTTGAATGACCGTCTCAGACTAAGGCACAGACTGAGGTCTCTGATCAAAGCAACCCCAGACTGTCTGACCCAGGAAGGGTCATACTCTAGTATACGATCCTCCAGACAATCTGACCCAAGTTGGTGAGCCCCAGATATACCAACCTTAGAGTGGCTCCCAGATGATTCTCTGGTCAGAGTCACCCCAAATTCATCCAGAGGACCCCCAGACTATCTGACTTCAGCCAAAATGACACCAGACTAACTGCAGACAAGCTGACTTTAGCTGGAGAGACCCCTGACCTCTTCCTAGTGACCTGTATAACTGACCACAGCCAGGTGACCTCTCAGACTAACTCCACACAGAGTGACCCCTTAGCCAGAATAACACTTTCTCCCTGATCTTTGGCCATCTCCAGGCCTAGGTCTCTGGGCCAGGCCCAGTTCCAGTTCCTGTCTTTAGTGGGTACCATCTCTGAGGCCAGTTCCCCAAGGAAGGCCCTAGCCTACAAGGGATGGGAACAATTGCTTTCTGAGCTCTGGGAAAAGTCCCATCCCCTGGGATGCTCAGGAATCCCACAGCTGACTCTCAGTTCTTGCCAAAGAACCCACTCCCGCAGGAGGCTGCTAGTGTGGGGGAAACTAATCTGACTCTGGATTCCGAACAAGAATGGTAACCAGGAGTCCCCCTGAACTGTCACCCACCAACACCACCACGAGGGGGCACCAATCGCCACAATGACCACTAGCGACATGTAGCCCCAGGCCACACAGTCACAGTGTATAGAAAACCAGATTTAAACCACCTCTTTATTCAAGAAGACCAGGCACAAACAAAATAAGGCCCTGAAATGCTGTTGGCCACGTGCATTATTAACTCAGTATCGTGCATAAGACATTTGCTTCCCGACAGTACAATACAGTTGCCAGGTGACAGACACCATTAGAGGCACAGGATGAGACTCCACCTGCTTTAGGGATCTCCCAGTCTAAGTGAAGGTGACAGAATGAGACAAAGCAGAGGTCACGACTATGTGTGAGGCAAGGCTTCCTGCAGGAGGCGCCACGGAGCTGAGCCTGGAGAGGTAGGTGGGAGGACCCTGGGGGCAAGGGGCCAGCAGAAACAAAGGAAGCAGTGAGAAAATGGTCTGTCCGCCACAGAGAGGAGCCCAGGCTGGCTAAAGTCATGGGAGTTGAGACCAGAGGGATACTGAGGCCAGACCAAGGTGGTGAGCATTTGGCCTCATTTTGACCTAGGGAGCCACAGTAGGTGTTTGAGCAGGGAAGCCCCTGGAGTCCAGTGAAATGAGTGATACATGCCATAAGCCACAAGTAGGGAAGGTGACTTCTCCAGAGCACCGATGAGGAGGGGGCTTAGGACCAAGCCATCCAGGTGTCAGATGTCAGGAAGTGGCAAGGAAAGGGACCTCAAGGGCCCCTCTGGATGCAATCTGCACATACTCCAATCACACTCAGAGAGATGCGCAACACCCCTGCAGGAACACACGCACACCCACACAGCCGCACACTAGAACGTTCACACACACTCCCTTTCCCCAGCCTGGTCTGAGACTTGGGGACACAGTATAAGTTAGGCACACCGAGGCCTCTCCTAGGGCACCCATCTCTACGGAGGCCTCCCTGAGAGGGTGGGCTGGAGCAACCCAGGACCCCTCAGCTCCCCCAGCCTCAATGCAAACTGGCCCAGCCACATTCCTCAGCTAATCTCCCCAATCTGGCGGGCGGTTGCCTGAGCAACCGTCAACCACAATTTGGGAAGGCAAGGGGATGGCTACCCGCATCCGGCTCAGCTCTGGACTGGGTGCTGTCAGGGAGGAGCATGGGAGGGGGGCCTCCAAGCGCGAGGATCTCCACACCTCCATGTTCATGCTTCCACCCAGGTGCGAGTGCCTGGCTTGTGGGATTGATAGGACAGCTGGTACAGAGTAATCACCTCGGAGGCAGGAGACGGGGATACTATCCCTACTCTGCCCCTAAATCCCTTTGTGACTTGGGGCACATGACTTGCCCTCTCTGAATCCCAGCTTCCTCGCCTGTGCAATGAGACCATGGTCCACTGCCATTCGTCTGCTCTTGTGAATATGCTTGTGAGGAAGAATGACCCCAGGACTGGGAGAGGTCCTCTGGGGGAGAGGTGTGCCAGGCAGGGCCTGGGTGTCCAAAAGCAAGGGTCTTCCAGGCAGGTGCTGCGAGGTCGAGTGTGGATGGATGGTGCCTATGGACGGAGCTAAGCAGCACATTCAGCAGCAGACATGTGTCTAAGAGGAGGTGTGTGTCCACAGTGTGCTGGGGGATTATGCACATGGGTGCATGTGTGTGCATATGCGTGTGCATGGGAGTACCACAAGCATCACACACCAGACTAGAAGTTCTCACTCCAGACAGGGAATGGCGCCCTGGGCCCACTGCACCTGCAGCCACCCGCAGTGTTTTCTGAACACCCTGAGTAAATGGAGCCTGTTTGCAATGGGATTTTCATTCCCTTTGGTTTGTCAATAGAACATCCAGTTCCCAGGGGTGGCCCCAGGAGAAATAGAACTTCTCCCAACAGACTGTGAATTTGGGGGCTAGGATCTCACCCAACAGTAGGCTCAGCCCCAACCCTGGCCTGGGGAACCCAGGTATCATCCAGTGACAGCGCTGGCCTATTTCACCATCCCTCTTCCAGGGAGTCCTATCCTACCCAGGACCTTCTCCCCCAACCCAGCCTACCCAGGTCGTTCCACCCCAACTGCAGGGCATGGCAGGCCTACCCGAGCCCCATCTCATGCCTGCCTGAAATGTCTCGCAGGCCTTGGACTCCCATCTCCAAGCCCTGTATATGTAGGTGGCTAATAGTGACCAGACCTATTGACCCTATGGTCCCAGCTACATTGAGCTTAACCAGCTGCACCCAGTCCAAGGACCATGATTCCAGCCCTGGGGCCTGAAGCCCACCTCACCACTACCAAAGTTGCCAGAGCCTTGACTAACTGATAAACAATAAATTACAGACACGGTTGGCAACCAGATGCCCTAACCACCCAGAGCCCAGCATGACTGCTGCCAGGGAGAGCCCCCAGAGCCAGGCCACAGGCAGAAAAAGCTGACCTGGCACCTCCCATAAGAGTCCAACAATGCCAACATCTGGCCATCTCCATCCAGGATGGAAGGAAGCAAGCTACAGCAGAGGAACTCTCACCAGACCCA